GATCATGTTTCTCTCAAATTTAACCCCAAGGTACGTACAAAAATATTTTTGTTTATCCACTGTAAGATTTCGATTTTCATTCTTATAAGGTTCAACCAATCTATTGACTATATCGAGTGCTGAGTTAGAGACCATATATTGATCCTCTGGTTGCTTGCCGCAATATACTTCTAATCCAGAAACATAAAATGTTTCTGAATCGCAAAGAGCAAATACTTTTATACCGTACTTTGCTGGTTTATTTGCTATGTATTGTATAAAGCTGCATCGCCCTTTGAAAGGTATTAACATCTCGTCAATTGTCATAAAACTTCCCACTCTATAATTTTTCTGACAGTTGGTCTCAAAAGTGTCCAAAATGTATGTCACAGCTGCCAGTTTGTCTGTTTTCAATCGTATAGTTCTTATCCTCTTATCGTCAAATCTAAGTGATCGTAATAAAAATAGGAAACGTGAACTCATACAGGCACGAAAAATTTGTGATCCAGTTCCATCCGCTATTATGTCTTTGTCCTTGTGAGTAAATTGGGGAGGTGATTGCGAACATCTTTGAACAAATACCATTTGGTCCAGGAATAAAACTGAAGTGTGTTGTGGAATTTTTGATGATGGAATCCGACGGTGGAGGTGTTGAATTGTGATCTCTAGGTGCGTCAAGTGAAGTTGCAGCAAAATCCCCTTCGTTAAATACATTTCTGTCCAAAGGGTAAATGCCAGTAACTTCAAAACCTTTCACTCCGTTTTCGATTGAACAAACTCTGTTGTACACATTTGCAGAAATTGAAGCTATATCATCCACTGCTATCTTTTCAAAATGATTTGATTTCATATGAAGATCGCATTCTTGATTAAAACCTGTTTTTAATGGACTAAACACCGTTACAGCCAATGGCTTCAGCCGGTGAGAACAGTGCGGAGGTAAAGAAACCACAATAATTAAGTCCGTTGTCACGGCAAAAGTTGTATGCACCAAGACTGGAATGTGTGCTATGGTTGTTGACGGCTGGAGCTTTTTCCAGCCGTATTTTGTGTTCATAGAACGAAAACGAAAATCGTGTGTTGCTACTCTTGTTTATTGTGTACCTTTCGGTGGTTACATCGCTGCTGGTTTAAAAATTAACAATATAACTCCCCCCGTTGAAAGAACATATCTTTCAAATGAACATACCCACATAAATTGAAATAAACATATAACAAACACGAGAAAAATTCAACTCATGCAGACAAAATAAGAACTAATGTTATACATGCACACCAATGGATGTCTGATGTTTTTATCAGACAATTCGAAAGGGTTACCAGTATTAATATGGCCTTTAATTACTTCGAAAGGCCTGTAACCTGTTACAGAATGTATGGCATTATTATATCCAATAATTGCATGCTTCATTAAGGTATTCACTTCTTCACGTGGTTTATCTAATTTTAAACATCGAATTTCTTCGGCGATTGTGGAGTGGAACTGTTCGACTGGAGAATTACTGTTAGAATTTTTCGGTGTCGTGTAATGTAATTTTATTTTGTGTAACTTGCAAAAATCTTCTAATAAATTATTCTTAAATTCACCGCCACAATCAGTTGTTATTTTATAGGGCATGCCATGGTGTGAGATAAAATTGAGCAAACTGTTAATAACGTTAATTGGATGCAAAGAATTGATAGGATAAGCTTGACCGTATCTAGAGAAAGAGTCAATAATGGTAAGAAAAGAATTGTTTAAAATTTTGAAAACGTCCAAATGAACGTGATCGAAAGGTCTGTTAGATGTTGGGGTAAGATTGAACTTAATGACAGGTGGGTTGCGTTCGTATTTCGCAACTTGACATGTTTTGCAGTTATTGACATAATTTGTGATATCTTCTAGCATATTTGGCCAGTACCAATTTCTTGAAAGTGAAGCTTTCATTTCGTTAATTCCGTTGTGACAAGTTTTTCCTTCATGATGGTATTTAATTTTGTCAGTTTGATCTTCGGAAGTTATTTCGTCTGTCCGTAAGATATTACACTTTACGAATTTAAACGAGGCGTTTCTAAAGTACATTTGTACCGTTTTATGGAACCTAGCTGATATCTGGGGTGTTTTGAAATACAATGAGTATGTTTGTTTTAGATCGAGATAATGTTTGACCGTACTTATTAGGTGTGTTTCAAAATTAGCAAATGGAATAGACATAATTAAACGAGTTTTATTGAAGACCTTTTCAATTTTAACATTCGGTGTTATAATGTCTCTGCTACAACATATAATTACTTGATTTTTATATACATTTAGGGGTCTGTCCGTGATAGGTATTTCTATTATCGGATTTTCTAAAGAAGTGTGAACTGTTTCGTTGTCACTTAAAACTCGATTTGGTGGTTTAATTTGTATGTCTGATAATATTTTAATTTCAGGCGTTTCTTTTGGTTCTTCTGCTAATTTTGTTACTGATGGGCTAATTGGGACTGATATCTTATCAGGATTTTCAATTTTAAAATAATCGTCAAGTAGTTCAATGTCTCGTTCTCTTTGTTTATCATTCATATTAACCACGAGGGATGATGTTTCATCGTGATTTATCGCGTTTATTTCAATTGTCGAAATTAATGCGAACGTTTCATTGGATTTTCTAAAATGAAGAGGGACAGATACTAAGTTATTAACTAACCTTTTATTTATTAAGTCTATCGAAAATCCCATATCGATTAAATCTTTGATACCGATAATTCCATCAAAAAACTCATGAAAGTCGTCAAGCAAAAATTCGGATATTTTATTAGAAGCGAATTCGGGGAAAATGGGAATGTCAGCTTTATATTTAATTTCTTTTTCACCAGTAGCTGTTTTGATCTTTGTACTGGACTGATAAATTGTAGACGGGTAATAGTTTTCTGCAACGTAAGGTCTGATGATAGAAACGGAACATCCTGTGTCGATTAAAAGTTTGAGAGGCGGGTTATTAATTTTGACATATGGTAAGGCGTTACAGTTACCTACAGTGTTAATTTCATGTATTATGTCGGGTGGTAATGAGGGCTGGCAAATGGAAAATTTGCTTCATCGTTTGTTTGAGTACTTTCGTTGTTCGAATCAAAGTTCTGTTGATCGTACAAATATGCGTTATCACTACTTGTGGCTTCGGACAATAAGGAGTAGTCATTAGTGACGTTATCAAAATTAGATTCGGTGACATATTCATCATGATCGTCATTGACTTCATCAGAAAAGTAATTATTGACGTCTGGCTGATTATTCTCTTGGAAGTAAATTTCCTCGGAAATGTAATTATTGGGTTGTGCATATTTATTTTGCGACAATGGCTGTCTGATAGTAGGGACTCTTGAGGTAGTTGACATGGCTATAGGTTTTTCTAACGGTATTTGTCCAGTGGGTTTGAAAACGTTTTTAGGTGTTCGAAAAACTTGAAAATTCGAGAGGAATCTCTGTTTCGGCGGGTTTGGGTTGGCTGTTAATCTGATAGGTTGGCTCGGAAATGGACGCTGCGAATTTTGAAAGTATTGTTGGGGTTGAGAATTTTGAGCGAAGTGTGACTGGAGTTGTGAACTTTGAAAATATCGTGGTTGCGGTTGAGAATTTTGAAAATATCGGGGTTGGGGTTGAGAACTTTGAGCGAAGTCTGATTGGGATTGTGAAGCTTGATAAAATTGTTGGGGTTGATTAGAATAATGCATCGGAAAATTATTTCGATAATGGTTAGAATCACTAGAGAAAGTTTGTTGGTACGACATTGATCGAGGTTTTACGGGTGGATGCGAAGTTGTTTTATGATTTTACAACATATTCGAAAAATTTTGAGTGTAACGGAAGTTCTGTTCTTCCGTTACGAACGACATTGCTTGCTCTAATGAAGTGGGATTTCTAAGTCTGATAATGCTTTGTAAATTACCAGGCAGACCACGAATAAAGGTTCTTAACGATAGGGTGTTATAAATTGGTTTAAATAAACTGTTTTTGTAGTTGCGTTTATGTTAATTTCGGGCATGGCTGTTAATTTTGAACTTAATCGACTTCTGGCAATTTGTATTCTTTTACCAAACTCTAAAGGATCTTCATTTTTCAAAGGACTTAAGGTCATTAAATCTTGTTCGAGACACTCAAGATTTCTCTGATCTCCAAAACTTAATCTGAGGGAATCTGTAATAGCTTCCCATGTATTTAATTCTGGTTTATTTCCGATTAGAATTAAGGCTCGGTCTGTTAACTTGCTGATAACAACTCTTAACAAATATGCAATAAGTTCTCGATTGTTACCATAATTATTGAACAAATATGTACATGAGTTTATATATAAATATCAACAATGTGTTTGGATCACCATTATAACTAGGAATGGTGTTAACGCACAATTTAAGCAATTGAAAATTTGGCAATGGTGTATCAGGCATTGTTTCGTCGTTAATTTGCACAAAGTTAAATAAATTCGTTAAATTCTCGATATCTAAATCGTTAAAATTATTATTCATGAAAGTTATTACAAGTTTCGTTTTTCTTTTAAAAGTTCGTGAAATTTCTTAAAATTACAACAAAGATGCCGTTTTTAGTTCCAAAGCAGGGAGTAAAATGGCAAAATTGGAAGGAAACTCGGACTTTCCTCGATGGTTACAGTCTTCAAGTTGTCCAGATGAGTCGCTGCTTCTGCTTCTTGTGATCGAAGAAATACCTCTCGATACGCGATGATCTTCTGGGTATTTCAGGTTCTTTTTTTGGGCCCGTTCAAGGAATTAAAATTCCAAATCGAAAAATGTTTGCACGATGCAGAAATTTCGATTACGTGGATCCTACCGACTGCGCCAATTAAATAACTCTTTTTTAAACTTGCGTTTTTAAAAAGTTTATTACGACCAGCAGTAAGACAGTATAGCAACAAGACTAATTAACAATTCAAAAATTGAGCATTATATATGCATATTTATCGTATTGGTAAGGACATGATATTCTATTGATAAACACATGATACAAATAAATGACTAATATAACTCGCGCACTGTTTTCACCGTTGCTACGCAGCACTGATTGTTCCCGGGTGTAGTTCCTGTATACGACCAAGGGGCCATTGTTGCGGCGGGATGCCGTCCTCGCAAACTATCACCAGGCCTCCAACTTGTGGCTGTCGCGCTGAAACTCGTTGCCATTTCGCCCTGTGTTGTAACGAGGGGAGATATTCGCGCGACCAACTTCTCCAGAAATCTTGGCGAATTTTCTCCAAAAGTTGATAGCGAATCAGGCGATTGGTAAGTATGTCGCTACAGTCTTCTTCTGCGGGTGCAGTCAGTGGACCACCAATGAGGAAATGAGCAGGGGTGAGCGCGGAGAGGTCATTTGGATGATTAGAAAGTGGAGTAAATGCCTCTATCATAATTAAAATCGTGTTCATTTCTTCGTAATTGAGAAGAGCGTTGCCTAAAATGCGCTTTAAATGACCCTTTACAGATTTTATCGCTGCCTCCCATATCCCACCCATGTGTGGAACGTGCGGAGGAATGAATTGCCAATTAATACCCATATTAGTTAAAGATTTAAGAACTACGTTTTCGAAAGATTTAGTTTGAAATAATAATAATCGATTCGCCCCAACGAAATTAGTACCATTATCAGAATGGAGCTCATGAGGTTGACCTCTGCGTGAAATAAACCTTTTCAATGCATTTAAAAACGCTAAAAATTAGCACTCGCATACGAACTCCTTGATGGTTTTTTGGGTACCACCGCGTCCATTTTTTAAAATAAAAGGTCCGCCATAGCAAAGCCTACTGTAAACTCAAGCCACAGTCAATGGTTTTAATGGCCGCGGTAGTAGTCCGGCCGATCTCGGATGCGCTAGCAGTTCAATAATGGGGTAGGAGAATATATCAACAGAAAAATATTTTTGCTTACGGAATCTTTCACCACATGCAATAAAAATGCATATTATAAATACTCTTAACGTCGAAACTCTGGTAACATATTATAAATTACATAAAAAATGTAGTTACACTGAGATGTTAAAAAGAATTAAAAGATATAAAGGTATTTATTTACATAAAAAAATAACATTTAACATAAAAAAAAGAACAAAAAATGTATAGAATATATATAAACAACAAAAAAGTTAATATTGTTTTCTCAATAAAACAATTAGTAAAAAAGATCAACATGTAGAGATATATCTGGCATTTATTTTACATTTAACTTACGCACTTTACGTTTATTTTTACGCTGCTCTTCTACATCAGCTTGTTTTATTTTAGAGTAATTATTAAGCAGAATATTAGCAAAATATTTTAAACAAATATTTAAGAGAACCTGATACTTAGTTCCACATTCGCAAACTTCATCATATTCTGAAAAGTTAATGCTCTCCTGGCACAATTTTTGAAACACAAAACGATGTGATTTAACGTCCAAAAATTTGTTTTCAAATTCTTTTGATATTAGTGTTTTAAATAAAGTATACGCCTCGATAAGAACAGACAATAACATTTCAGTCGGATATTTTAATCCACCTCGATCTAAGCATTTTAAGTACTCTAAATTTTGACAAGATGTTTCAACTTTTAGATCTTTTTCACTTACAATAAAGTGCATGCATAAACTACAACAAGATCGGTTGACAACTTTTCTGGAAATATATCCAGCGATATATGTTATCACAGATATATCATTGGCACTTACTTCAACGGCTTTACATACAGTGACAACATCTCTAAATTTTATAGGAATATCGGCATCTAATCTATCCGAATTAGACGTTTCTTCGCAATCTGAAAGAAAGTCCTTTATTTCAAACTGACCATGTCTAGCCGATTGTAATTTTAATAATGAAAGAATTTTTATTTTCTTCTCGGATTCTAAAATTTGTTGAAGACTAATGTGATAATTTTGCCCTGACATGAATCGATATTGTCCGAAACGGGCTTCGAGAGGATCAGTTTGAAACTTTCCTAATAAAACATATTCAAAATTTAGAGTAATAAGCAAATGATTGCATAATGAAATCAAAGTTAAGGTAGTGTGACGTAAAGCTTGATACGTTTCTTTAGTCAGTTTACCGATTCTACTACTTTTTTTTTCTCCTTGAATTTCTATTTTCTCCCAGTGATCAAGCCAAGTTACAAATTTTTTTAGAAAAAGTAAATTTTTGTCATTTATATTTTTAATAGGATTACGGTATGGGTCTCTTTTATGTTCCCCTTCAAATAAAGATTTGCAATTTACTATTTTCCACCAACGTAAAATTATATCCAAAAATTTTATAGTTCCTTCACTTCTTTGTGGATATTTAATTCTTAACGCAGTAATATTTTTTTCATCAAAAAATCGGACACAAAGCTTGACATTTTGCCTTTCAATGTTAGTAGGATGTAAAACTTTTCTACTTAAAGCCGGAGCATATTTGACAATATTTGTTTCTTCTTCTCTTTGAATAATTTTTAAATGATTAACGCATGCTCGAAAGTGTGTCAATTCTTTTTCACTATCAACGAAATTGTCTTCATAATCGTATTCAGGAAAGTCAGGAAAAACAAATGTCTGTTCTGAATCTTTTTGATCGATCCAGTTATTTCTGATACATTTAAAGAGATGAACGGTATCAAATGCTAAAAACAGTTTCTGATTATCGTTTAGGCAACTTGGATGTTGTATAGAACTTTGAAGACTACCTTTACCTAATTTTTCAAAAGTTTTCCTATTAACAGCGTTATTGTCAGACTGTATGCACAGTATATGATATCCTGACTCTGTGACTACCTTTATTACATTTATCAATAATTCTGTTAAATAATCAGTTTCTAAATTTTTGACAGGAAACAAACCGACCACGTCGCAGTTGCTAGACAACACCGATTTGATCATAAAAGTTTGTACCGTAGATGCAACTGTATTACTATTACTGCTCATACCTTCAATTTTTCCTCCTTTATATGTAATTGTAGGTTTAATGTATACTTCATCAAGTAATAAATTCACATATTTTTCTTTATTATCTAAATTTATTAACTTGCGTTTTAAGTAATGAATATGTGATGAAGTTATACCAGAATTTTCTGTACCCAATTTCATATTTAACTTTTTCAAATATTCATAATGAGGTAGAGTTAAAGTATTAGTTTCTCTCAAATATTTGTATGCACCTGGAAAACTGTAATAAAATGTTATTGCCCATAAAAATAAATCGCTTGAATATCTAGGTGCTTTACAAAAAATTAAATTTACTTGATCAACTATGAATTTCAGTTTATTTTGAATATTAATAGTTTGATAAGAAAATTCTTCAGAACTGATAACCTGACTCAAAATATTAGTAGCAGTTTCCACGTAATACTTAACATTAATATCGTGGAGCATGTGATTATCTTCAAAATTTTGAAAATATGTTAACAGCTCTTCAAATTTATTCCAAGAATCAAGTTTGACATCTCGGCCTAAAATATTTGTTAATTTATCATCGTGAATAGCTTCACCTTTGTATAAATTAACTGTTAAATTATCTTTCACTACCAGACTAGATGAGATCTTTGGTATGTGATTGCAATTTATTTTATAAAAAATAATTTGATTATTGTTTGCAAACTCGCAGAGCTTTTGGGTAGTTTTATTTTTATAATTCTCTTTAAAATCTTGAAAATCTTTAATTTTATCTAATAGAATTAGTTCCTCTTCTGCTGCCTGCTGTCTCTTATTTATTTCTTGGTGTCTTTCCTCTGGCGCCTTCCGTTTTTTACTAATGCTTTTTGACATATACGTAGGTTGATTTTTAAAAATTGTGGGATAGGCATCGTCGGTTAATTTTGGTCTGCTTCTAGATACAGTAAGAACAGTGCCGTCATTTCGTTTAAATTTATCTTCCCGTATTATGAACTGTTCATCAAAATGATCAATACACACCACTGAAGATTTAGTGGGTATAAAATTATCTCGATGGATAGCTCTTAACCATAATTTTATTCTTTCGGGTTGTTTTGGGAAAAAGAAAATTGTTTTACTGGTTTCCCCCTGAGATGTGTAATTACTTTTGCAACCAGGAACACAACAATGATACGGCATCTATTATGGAAATATTAAAATTGTTATATCAATTACCATTTTCTGATTATTACATTTACCGTAAATTTTTTTGAAGACTGCTACCTGCACTATTATACACTGTTCTGCACTGTTACACAATCTGAGAACAAGTGTTTTGCATCTGCATTTTTACATCTGGCGGAAACTGCAAACTGCATCTTTCGTAAAGTGTCGGACCACTGTTGTGACGTCACGCCCTTCGCTGAAGCAATGGTTGTGGCTTGAGTTTATAGTAGGCTTTGGCCATAGTCTACACTTGTAATAAAAAATGGTCGTAAAGTTGTTACACGAGTTTTGGGAAGATCACCGATTAATTGATTGAATGGTACCGGCTTGCAGCGGTAACATTTTAGACACTTGAATATTGTTTGTCGAATTGTATTTTTGACTGAAATGGGCCAATATTGCAGCGTACTGCAGACAAGGTTCCCTGACAACCGATATGCTGGTTATCCTTATGATATTTTTCAATTACCAAACGAGTAACAAAATGATCTCTCTGCAACAACAACTGATGTTTGCGATCATTACTGATTTTAGCATGATTTAGTCTGCCACCAACTCTTAAAAAACCAGAAAAATCAATAACGGGATTTGAACTTTTTTGGTGATTTGATTATGCAACTTAAGTTAATTTATATCATCCTGAAAAGCTTCATTTTGAACTAACGTTATTATTAAATTGTGCGCTTCTGCGATTTCTTTGCATGTTACAGGACCAGATTTTTTATTGTCCTTATTTTTCAAATTCTGAATAAATCGTATTATTATGGCAGTAATTCTACACAATTTATCAAAGTCCGAGTAACGCAGTAGAAATTCGGTGGAATTTTTGGTCGCATGACAACATGTTAACTTTAGTTCCGGCAAATCAACATGTGACGAATCATTTAGATGTTCCTACGCTAAATCAGGCCTAGTTAGAAAGGTCGGTCCATTCCACCAAAGGTGGAAGGCCTGCAGATGACGGAGATTATCCCCGCGGGACAAAAGTCCGCAGGATTCTGTTCTGATGAAACATGATGGCAATTATTTTGAGGTGTTAAAGACTGTATCTCTGATATCCGATGTGATACGAATGATTTTAATAGTGTAGCTTGCGTTCGAATCCATGCTAGTGTGCTATAGTGGAATCAGTCCAGTAGTGACACTCCTGGATATCAAAGTTTATCAAAGATTGCTTAACTTTATGAACTAATCTAGCTAAGAGAACTGCGCCGCACAGTTCAAGTCTGCGAATGGTCTGTGTTTGCAAAGGTGGAGCTTTTTCCAGCCGTATTTTGTGTTGATAGAACGAAAATGAAAATCGTGTGTTGCTACTCTTGTTTATTGTGTACCTTTCGGTGGTTACATCGCTACTCGTTTAAAAATTAACAAAATGAAACAAAGTATAGAAATAAGAGGGGGCTAGGCCGACTTCCACTCTGATCGCCGCCAATTCTTCAAAAGGAGCGAGCC